TCTTATGCCCTGTCTTCCTGGCAGCACTGCCGTCGTCGTCATGTAGATTTATTTCCTCTCGTGGCCAGGCTTTGTCTCTGTTCACTGTCCATGTTTCCTCTGCTCCAGCTCCAACTTGCGCTTCTCCCCCAGCCAGTCCCGCTTGCTGCACTCCGCTGCTCCCATCTCTCCTCTCTTCCCGCTCACCTCGTCCCTCTGCTCCTTGTCAGCTACTAAAGCAAGCGTGGGACAGCTCTACCAAACAATCCAGATAATCTTCGGGATTTTTCTGGCTTCAGTCTGCCTCTTCCCTGATTTTCCTAGCAAATAACAGCTCCCCATTGGAGTCTCACCCCAGCCTTACCCTCTTTGTTCCAGGCTGCCTAATTCCAGTTTTATTCCAGCTTTGTGCCCTAACATGAGTTTTATCTGTATTCTCTTGATACCCTTTTAAAAGGATGTGGTGGGAGGTGAGGAACATGGATCAGAGAGGACCCTACTGCTCATTCCAGGCATTATCCCAAAACTGCTGTTCTGGGGGGAAGCTTAGCATTCTTCTTATTTTTCCAGTTGCTTTCCTTCATTTTTGGGCCAGTGGGCATGTGCCTTCTTTTGAAGGGTACTGTGTACCTACTACGGTCATACGACGAGTGACTAAGTGTTAAGTTACAATGCTTAACGAATTGAATCCTTTTGTGCAGGCCTAAGATTATAGCTGTTAATCTAAAATATAGCTGAGCATGAAAAATATAAAGAAGTGGGGGGAAATGATAGAGTTTTTTAGTTTAAATTAATTTCTTTTTAGCAGCGGGCACATCCTTATTACAGAGGGGGAGGTCTTTGGGGATTTCAGCTTATGCTCTCTTACATGTTGTTGTCGTAGCTTGAATACTTAGAAGTGCTTTTCTTTAATAGGAAGAATAATATATTTTTAACGCATTTCAGTGAAATAACAATCTCATTTTGGCTTAACATATTCAGCCTGAGTTAAAAATCTAATGTAAAACTTGAGTTGGATGCATTTTTGGTGGTGTTTTTTATAGGAAGCTAAACAATGGTTTAATGCTTGGAAGCAAAGTGCTTTGTAACCACGGGGTACAGTGGTACCATCGCATCTCTAAGAGATGTCTATCTTCCGTTGGCTGCCAGCTATTTTTATAGAATGGTTGTGGGGAATGTTATTCAAAATCTTCACGTTTCCTTGGTTTTAATTCTGACACAAACATCAACTACTGGTTTTCTTCATCTAGGCTGAACTGGAAGCTTTTGAAAACAGATTAAAAGGGCGAAGAAAGAATAAGAGAAGAAAGGATGAAGTGGAAGTGGAACAATCATCATGGCAAAAATACAAGAATCTCATTATGCTGCCGATGGTCGGAGTTGCTGTTGTGATGGTTGCATGGCTCATGGTCTACAATGACTGAAATAACGGAATATTTAATATACCTCAGTCAGGCTTTAGGTAGCTGTGATTCCTAGAATGTTAGTCTGTGTGTAAGAGAACTTAATGAGCATAGATTATGTACGTATGCTGTTTGCCAGGAAGAGTGCAGAGGAGGGAAGAGATGTCACCTTTTGTGTTATGCCATCCACAGCACAAAACCGAACTTGGACACTGAAGGTAATAGTAGATTTTTAGCCTACACAGAGGTGCTGATATCATTCATCTGACTGAGATCCGTTAGAGTCTCTTCTGTTAATACGTTGTGTTACTTTTCCTTGTCTCCATTTCATGGTATTAAAAATAGCTTAGTATAAAATGCTTTATTGAATATTTGTTTCCTGTAAAATCAGTTTAGTGGTTTATTGAAGGTTATGCTGGTCTTTGTGTTGTATCACACTAACTTCTGTGCTTTGTGTCAGGTTCAATTACAACTACAGGGAACTTCGGATCACTTAGGCTTGAATATTCTGGGCCTTCATGTCAGGACTTTGTTCAGGGAAAGGAGATGTTTACTGTCAAGTCAGCTGTATCCCAGTCAATAAAATGGGCCTCTTACAGGATGTGGGGTTTGTTTCTTGGTCGGTCGCAGTCCTCCCCTTGTTTCCTCAACATCAAACCAACTGAAAGCTTTAAGTGGACAGGTGCATACACTGATTATGGACATGAAGAGTTTTGGGGCACAGGGATGTGTTCTCATCACTGCTCCCATCGCCAACAGCACCAAAGCAATTTGAACTTAGAGCATCACTGGACTATTTGTGTAGATAAATGTCACATCTGAATATTTGCATAGGTGTGCAAAAACATATAATTGTATTGTTACACTATTCAGTTACATTATTCTGAAGCCATCTGGCTAATCATAGAATCACAGAATGGTTTGGGCTGGAAGGGACCTTAAAGACCATCTAGTTCCAACCCCCCTGCCATGGGCAGGGACACCTTCCACTAGACCAGGTTGCTCAAAGCCTCATCCCGCCTAGCCAATCATGTATAAACTATCTAACTAATCTTTTAGATGATTTAAATATTTTCTTACTGACTGTTAAGAATGCCGTGCTTTTGGGACATCAGTATTGGTTGGTAGAACTGAAAGGTTTACACAGCTTCAGGATGATTAGTGAAGCTGCACTGTCTGAGCTGAGGGGCTGCCAGTTCAGTTCAGGGGTGAGGGAAATCAGAAAACTGAGTTTTTTACACCTGTGCTGGAAATTTTATGCTGACACTTGAGCATTGTGAGTAACGGAAAGATGCTCACAAGATCCTGTGAAAGAGGAGCCAACGGGCGTTAGGCTGCCCTTGTATTACGAGGGCAGCCTTTCATCACAAGACCTGCAAGAGCAGTGGGGCTGTCTGGGTGGGTTAGTAGAGGAGATTGTGGTTTGTTTGAAAGCTCTTTCGGTTTATTTTGGCCCACTTATAAAGGGACCCAATATTCATTTCAGCTGGTATCCAGTTGT